AACATGAAAAATGTAAGAAAATGAAAATGATTTGATTGCTATTGTAACGAGTAAAAATTTAATAAATGTTCAAAGTTTAATACATTTGAATGAAGACAACCAAAATTGTAAATGTTAATTTTTTAATTTTTTACAATAGATAAAATATATTTTTTAATATAAATTAATAATAATAAAAAAACGTAAATTACAGCTTGAACTTCAACTTGTTGGCTGACGACATGTTTATAAAAAGGATTTTTTTCTTTCTTTTTTTTTTTTTCTTTTTTTCGGATATGAAGTAATATGAACGGCTCCGCCACCTTTCGTGATTGGAGACGAGTAAAGAATGGACGACGGCCAAGTTTTTGTGGGATATATAAATGCAATGATATTTCTTTTTTCATTTTGTTTCTCTTTTTCTGGTGTCCATCCCTTTATTATTTTCTAAATAAAATTTCAGAAGATATTAAAAAGAAAATTGTTAAAGTGTGTGCAGTAAAACATGAACTATTATATTTGGATTGTTCATCATCCCATTCAAGAACTTTTCTAATTTCATATAATAATTTATGCTGTAGAGTTAGACTGAGAATTTACACTCTTTTTTGTTAGAATAAAAAATTAAAGCAAATTACAAGATGCTCCTTAAAGTTGAAAGTGAAATGTAAAAAGTTAAAAGGAAAATAAAACAAAAATACAGAAAATGTCAAAAGACATAAGTGGTAGAAAATTGGAAGAAGGGTAGTGGGGTTTTTGCCCCAGTTGTGATGAAGACACAAGACTAAATATCCCAAAATCTTTGAGTACACTAGACATTGTAAAGATCCCATAATATGAGGTGGTTATGGTAACTTATAATTTTGTCAAAACTACTAAAAAAAATGGATGGGGGGTGATTGCTACAGTTGTGATGAAGACACAAGACCATATATATCCCAAAATCTTTGGGTATGTTAAGGTTCATCACTGTAGGATGTAAGGTGTAATTATGATTATCTATAATTTTGTTAAAATAATTTAATTGAATTAATATTTTATTAATATATAA